TGTACTCTGATGCACTCAGGTGTACTCTGGTGTACTCTGATGCACTCAGGTGTTGCAATATCCGAGAAGGAAACGGAATGTGAACATTTTAAATTGCTCCAGTTACATGAGTGTGTTTGTTGACTCAATTAAGACTAGCAAGAAAGATTATCCCAACTTCATGTTTTATATATACAATTATTGCCTTTAGTATTCTTGAATTACATTTATGTTCTGTAGGGTTTTGCTTAACTTTTTGTTTTTTGATGAGTTCACTTAATGTTGCTTTATTCTGCAAGTAAGTGTTTAAAATATTGTGAATTCATCAACTGCTTCATACAGATTTGTCTTTCTTATCTGCTGCTTCAGAAAAATGTACTGTACCATTAAACTATAATAGAAATGTGCAGATTTAAGGTGTTTTTAATGCCGCTGCTGAAAGGCGGGTGGTAATCTTGTACTCGCTTCCATTTTGGTCACGGGGGGTCGCCGGTGCCCATGTCCAGCAATCACTGCGAGAGACGGGGGACACCCTGGACAGGTCTCCAGTCCATCACAGGCAAACATAGACAAACGAGACAACCATTCACTCTCTCACTCTCACCCAGGGAGAGTTTAGAGTTACAGTGCTTTGCGAAAGTATTCGGCCACTTGAACTTTTCAACCTTTTGCCACATTTCAGGCTTCAAACATAAAGATATAAAATTTTAATTTTTTGTGAAGAATCAGTGAGGTTGGATGGAGAGCGTTTGTGAACAGCAGTCTTCAGCTCTTTCCACAGATTCTCGATTGGATTCAGGTCTGGACTTTGACTTGGCCATTCCAACATCTGGATATGTTTATTTGTGAACCATTCCATTGTAGATGTGTCTTTATGTTTTGGATCATTGTCTTGTTGGAAGATAAATCTCCATCCCAGTCTCAGGTCTCTTGCAGACTCAAACAGGTTTTCTTCCAGAATGGTCCTGTATTAGACCTTTTTCACGACAACCGGAAGTAGCGTCTCATGGTGCTGGGTTACTTCTGGCTTTCGCAAGTCTTCTTCTTCTTGTGCTTTATGGCAGGTGGCATCCAACGTTAAGATGCATTATCGCCATCTACTGTGCTGGAGTGTGGGCCAGAGTATTTTTCTTACCTACCTAATCTATATTCTTATATACCTTTTCTACTCTTAATGTCTCCACCCCATGTTTTCTTACTTCTTGTTTTAATTTTTCTCTACTCACTCTATATTTTTCCACATTGAATTATTACATGTTCTACTGTCTCCATGTCCACGCCACATTCACATTTACCTGTTGGGTGTTTGCCTATCAAATGTAAAGTTTTATTTAATCCTGTGTGTCCAATCCGTAACCTTGTCATCACTACTTGTTCCTTTCGATTTCCTCCAATAATTTCCATTCTCCCTACTTTCTTCTGTATCTGAAACAGATGACGACCTTTAGTCCCCTCCTCCCAGAGTCGCTGCCATTCAGAGTTAACTTGGTTTATAATAATAGATTTTATTTCAGATTTACTAAATGCAATTTCCATGATTCTAACTTGTTTTAAAGATAATTTAGCTAGATGTTCTGCTGCATCATTCCCCTCTATATTTTTATGAGCCGGTATCCACATAAACGTAACCTTTACTTTAGCTTGTGTAAGTCTAAATATAATTTCATAAATTTCATACACCAATTCCAGATGGCTTTTGGATGAAAAATTTAAAATGGACATTAATGATGATAATGAATCTGAACATATAAGCATTCCGTCTTTCCCACTCTGTTCCACCCATTGCAACGCCATCACAATCGCTAACATTTCCACTGTATACACAGTTAAGTGATCAGATGTTCTTTGCTTCATAATTATATTTAGCTCAGGAATTACATAAGCAAAACCTGTTTTACCTGATTCTAAATCTTTTGAACCATCTGTATATTAAGAAAGGATCTATATGCATTCTTAAATTTATCTTGTACAAAATCTACACAATTTTTATCTTTATTATTCTGTACTTCTTTATAGACCTCTAGATCTACAGTCACATTTGGAAATAACCAAAAAGGCGTAACTGAATATGGCACAGCAGCACAATATCTTTTCTCTTGTATTCCCATTTCTCCAACACATTTATTTGCTGCCCAAGCAAAACAGTCCACTTTAGCCTTTCCACTTTCCCAGCATGGCTTCAAAATTCTTACTGCTGGATGGTGCTCTTCCTTATGTTCCTGTAAGCTTACCCAATAATTCATCATATTTTGTTTGTATCTTAATTGTAACGGGAGCTCCCCCATTTTAGATTGAATTTATCTGCCCCCCCCCCCCCCCCCCCCCAATCTAGTCCTGTTAAACACCTCATCAAATTCACAACTTTTTTACATTTTCCCTCAATATATTTTACATGATCATCCCATAGAAGTTTGGATTCAAACATGATTCCCAGGAAATGAAATTTACTTACTTTTTCTAATTTTCCCCATACATTTTTTAATCTATGTCCTCAATCTTCTTTCTACTAAATACAACAGTCTTTGTTTTATCTACTGAGAATTTAACTCTTGTCAGTTGGACTCCCCAATTATAAGCCCAACTTTCAACAGATTTAATGGCATTTTGTATTTTCTCATACACTAATCTAACATTTCTTCCTTTTCTCCACAAGGCTCCATCATCTGCAAATAATGATTGCATAATATCCTTATCTACTCCAGAGAAAACGTCATTAACCATGAGTGAAAATAGTAAAGGACTTATGATACTGCCCTGTGGAGTTCCATTTTCAACTTTATATTTATTTGATCGTGCTACTCCTATTTGTACTTGTATGACTCTAACAAATAAAAAAAATGTAATCCAACTATAGGCCCTTCCTGTTATTCCCATTTTATATAATTTGATAAGCAACCCATTCTTCCATACCATGTCATATGCTTTCTCAATATCAAAAAATACTGCAACCACTACTTCCCTTTTCGCGGGTCTATGCAAATGCAAGGCTTTTCTTTCGCTGATGTGGAGGAAATCACAGCGGTGAATTATTGAAACAATAAACTTGAGAAAGGATAAAAGTTCTTCCATGAAGAATATATCCACAGCTATCAAGGTAAGAAAAGACATAGCTTAGCGAGCTAACTGTTAGTTACAATATATGAAGTACATAAACATCGTAATAAAGCCTAATTTAGCGTGCTAAATTATTTGGAGTATTTCAGACAGATGTGGTATAAACTGTTAAATGATATTTTAACATTCTGATATGTGTTTGCCATTACAGTTTGTGAAAGAAAACGTACTAGATGTTAACAACAAAGTCCATGCTCAATAATCCAGGTATAAAATCCAACATTTTTCAGTCAGGTCATCTGGACAGTTTCTTTTTTTTTTTGTGCTGAAACGTTTCGCCTTCGATCCGGAAGGCTTCATCAGTCAAGGAAATGCACAACACAAAACTGATTCTTCCTCCAACAGCTTACTCCAAAGTGGAACAAACCAGTTCTGCTTGTGATAAGATGGTCTCTTTGGTACGCCCCCTCCTCCATTGCCGGCCCTCTTCCTTGTTGACAGTCTTGTCAAACTGGATGAAGCCTTCCGGATCGAAGGCGAAATGTTTCAGCACAAAAAAAGAAACTGTCCAGATGACCTGACTGAAAAATGTTGTACTAGATGTTAGTTATAAGATGCTATGATGCTTGATGTTCAAATTGTGCTTTACTTCTGCATAACTACAGGTCAAATGTTGTCGAGGGACAGGTAGTTGTCAGAGCTAGATGCTTTATTTCTGACAGCTGAAGAACTTTGACGTACGATGGACAACTTCTGTACTACTGAGAGCTTACAGTAACATCTTCTTGCTCAGTGGTTAGTTTGTCTTCTGTTGTTGTAGCAGCATAGTCTGTTTTGTTCTGCTGATGTTTCAGCTCATTTTCAAACTAGAATCTATTACTTGTTTAAAGCTAAATATGTTGTAACAAGTATTACATGTATGTGCTGAAAACAGTTATCTGTTTTAGATCTCACTGGGTGACAACAGGAGAAAAACTACGTCAGCTGGAGTCCCAACCACTTATCGCACGTCCTAACTTTAGCGCTGGTACCATCCAGGTTTGGGCCTGTGCCACAGGGCTCACAGATGTCTTACCAGTGCCCACCTGAGAAGTCCTGGTAGCGTCATTCTGGACCACATGGCTCCACACTTCCCTGCTCTTCCTCTGAGGCTGCAGTCTTCACAAAATGTGTTGTGTGTTCACACTTCACATCTTCATTCTCTGCAAGTGTCACTGGAAACGTCTCCTCAGAGGCCAGAACCAGGGAGCAGTCCAGATGTTCTGTAGGGGTACAGCTTCTACAACCAAGGCTTACTGCGAGCTGTTTCCGGTTGCAGAAGAAGTGTGGAGGAGGAGTCTGCTGACATGCTTTACTTCAACACCTTCATCCATGTGTTTATGGAGAAAGAGAGAGAGAGAACTTATATTTAAATGTGAATTTCTGTTCAGTGCCCTGAGATGACTTCTGTTGTGACTTGGCACTGCATAAATAAACTGAACTGAACTCACTATAAATGTATATAAAGCATATACACAACCTAATAACTGTTTGTACAAAATCAGTTTAGTGTTAAATGATCATAACAAAGACTAAACTTGTGC